ATCATCCTCTTTTGGAAGGCCAAACAAAGTAGTTTCGCTTTCACAATGAAACACAGTGTCTCCACGACATGGCGGCGGCAGCAACAATACTACAGCGAGAATAAAAGTTACGCCTTCTTTCTTTGCGTGAACATTTGCGTGAACATGTTATACATTCTTTGCGTGAACATGTTATGCAAATCTTCCCACATAGTGATGTAGATATGTGGGGGCGTGTTAGAACGAGGCGTTTTAGGTCGGCGTGGCTGACTCTTAACTTTTATAAAGAATATCTCTTTGGATTTGAGACTTTAGTCTTTGCAACTTTACAGATCGTCTTTATGCACCAAGAGCTTGTAACACTACAAAGAGAAAGGAAAAATAGAAATAGCATTATATGACCCCTTTAAAAGAAATAAGTTGAAGTACTAAAATTGCTAAACATTAAATAAAAATAAGTTATATATATATATATATACACATTTATATTAAAACCACTAAAAAAGCCAAAAATGACTAACTTGAACTGGAATACAAAAAATGTAAACTAAAATATACAAATAAAAGCTAATAAATAAAAATACTATAATAGTATAATATGCTAGTGTATATAAATAATACTAAATAACAGTAAATTTATTGTACTAAATCTCTCTCTATATATAAATTATCAATGTTCTTAATGTATATTGCCTGTTTCAGTTGTGTGTCAAACTTTTATATTTTACTATATTAATGATTATAATTACTTATTTTATTTGAATTATTCTGGTAAATATAATAAAAATAAATAAAATAAATGACAATTTTAAATATATATAAAATGACATTTTAATATGAATCGTCCATCTCCGATATATCGTGAGAGAAGCCCTGCTGTCACCGTTACTGACCTGTAAGTAATTGACCATGTCATTGGTACAGGAATCCAGGTCAATGCGGCGGATGGCCACATACTCCCCTGTGGGTTTGTACCTGGCCAGATTCACTGTCATCAAGTCCTCCAAACCTCGACCTTCACAAGCGGAGACAGACACATATCATCAGCAGCTGGAGAAGTCACAGACGCTCCTCACAGAGATCTAGAGCTGTTCTAGTGCTGGCCTCACCTATGACAGATCGCAGCTCATAGGCGCTGTTGTCTCGAAGGAAGCTTCCCATGGTGTCTCTGTGTGGGAGAGGGCTCAGAGACACTTGACTGTCCTCATGGGCCTGAGTCAAAAAACAGTGTCTTTAGTCAAATGTGGAAACACTAACTAAACATAAAAATTGCATAAATAAAAATGATGCTGAAAATCCAGTTTTGCTATCAGTTTTAAAATAAATAAAAATATAGAAGTTTTATTACACTGTAATAATTTTCCACAATATTACTCTTTTGATCAAATAAATGCTTTTGATACTTTCTTTCTAATGCACATATTTGAAGCACAATTTAAGTGTCCAAATACTTTTGTGACTCACTGTACATTCAAAGATATAGTAGGAAGTTTATAAAATAATATAGTGAAACATAAAATGCCCGATTTGTCATTTGAATGTGATAAAGCATCAACGTTTAGCGTTTCTGGCAGGCTTGGTGTCACTGTGCAAGCAGTGTTCGGGTAGCAAACATTTTAAGTGCATGTTAGCTTTCCTTCAAATGCATCATAGTATTTTGGGATATCAACCAAATATACAATGACCATCAATGTCAGTTTTAGTGAATTAGGAAACATTTCAAGATTACACACATGTACAATCACAGACACTGATGCCACTGTTGTGATAACAGCACAAACCAACCTGGTTTTAAAGAGGGGAAGGGTTTTTATTGCGCATACACTGATAAATCCCAGCCATTGCAAAGCTCTTCAGAGAATAATACAGATCAAGTTCTGAGGATCGGCAGATTATGGCTAATTAAAGATTCAGTCCAACTGTTCTGAGACTCAGTACGAGACCGAGAAGTTGAAAACTGCAGCAGGAATGGCTTCACAAAACTCTGCGTATTTGCAAAAGCATGTTATAAGCATCAAATAAACTACAATGCACTGTGTTGCATTTGATTATAGATATGCATGATCCCATAAACATAAAATACTTTTCTTTTCTTTTTTTACTCACATCAAAGCGTCCATTCGCTCTGCCATGGAACTTACAGATAAGAATATTAATTCCTCACACATACGATGAGAGCATATGTCAGTGGAGATCATGCAGGTCTATGGCAATTCATAAAACAAATCATTTTGTGCCCTTTGAAGTGTAGACAGGACTACTTCAGTGAACAGTGCAGCAAGCCCAGGCTTTGACAGGATGACTCCATGTGTTGCATTAACACAATGAGCAACTCCACATGCTTAGGTGACCAATGACAACATCACCATTACTCCTGGTGTTGGTTTGTTCTTTGTGACAACTCTTATGAGGCAATTTCGTAAGAGAGATGTCCTAATATTGCATCAATGAAGGGTAATGCAGAATTAGTCTCACTGATTCACTCTGCATATCTCTTGTACCTGCTCTTTAAAATCAGGCTTAATACTTAATTATGATATTAAGTATTACATTACTGGGAAACTGAACCCCCAAGTTTTCATTTCCCTTTGGTTTATCAAGCACAATAATAAAGCACTGTACCCAGGGAGTTTTATGAGACCTCATCTTTCTTTTCCCAACTTAAATACAAGCACTTCCCTCTCCTGGAGCCTCAGTCTGAGCAAGTGCGGAGGTATGAGTGTCACAGCAGCACGATGAGTGCATGCAGCCAAACACAGGAGCACATAGATGTACTCATCTGAGCACACACACACACACACAC